TACATTCTTCTAGAACACAGCCTCACAGCCCGAAAAACCCACAAAAACAGGATCTTTTGCTGAGTTTCATTTTCAGGTCACCATAAATCAAAGTCATTGTGATAGCACATAACAACAACAAGAACAACACTGCCTTTTGCTTATGTCAAAGTAGAATCAAGGGATGGAATGAATGGAAGTCTTGGGACCATTTGGGGGAGGGGGGCGCAAAGTGGCACATTAATTGGTCTAAAATTGGAGCTAACTTTGAATGCTGCAATTCAATCCCAGAGCATCTGCAGTAGTAATAAAAAAGGATTCCTTGTGCTGAATAGCTGTTGGTGGGTTAGATGCATTCGGAATTAAGGATATGTGCATTGAACAACTACTTGATCCCCAGTCTCTGTTAAACAGTGATTGGTTCCCGGCTACTTCTAGATCAGGGATAGGCAACCTTTCCCCTTTAAGGGTCGAGGGACTTCAGCTCCCAGAAGCCTCAGCCATGTTGGCCAATAGTCCCATGTTGGCCAATAGCTCCTGGGATTCTGGGAGCTGAAGTCCCTCGGCCCTTAAAGGGGAAAGGTTCCCTACCCCTGTTCTAGATCAAGGGAAGTAATAGTGTCACTGTATTCTGCTTTGGTCAAGTCTCACCTGGAATACTGTGTTCAGTTCTGGTCACCACAATTCAAGAAGGATGTTGAGACGCTGGAGCACATCCAGAAGAGGGTGACCAAAATGGTGAAAGGTCTGCAAACTATGCCCTATGAAGAGCAGCTTAGGGAGTTGGGTATGTTTAGCCTGGAGAAGAGAAGGTTGAGAGGTGATATGATAGCCCTGTTGACGTATTTGAAGGGATGTCACATTGAGGATGGAGCAAACATGTTTTCTGCTGCTTCATAAGACCCAGAGGAATGGATGCAAACTATGGAAAAGAGAGTCCACCTAAACTTTAGAAAGAACTTCCTGACAGTAAGAGCTGTTTGACAGTGGAACACATTCCCTTGGAGTGTGGTGGAGTATCCTTCCTTGAAGGTTTTTAAACAGAAGCTGGATGGCCATCTGTTGGAGGGTGCTTTGATTCTGTGTTCCTGCATGGCAGGGGGTTGGACTGGATGGTTCTTGTGGTCTCTTCCAACTTTATGATTCTGTGGTCCAAAACAAACTACAGAAATAGTCCAGTTTGAGACTGCTTTAACTGCCCTGGCTCAGTGCTAGGGAATCCTGGGAATTGTCATTTATTGAGGCACCAGATCTCTGACAGAGAAGGGTCAATGTCCCACAGAATTACAGTTCCCAGAATTTCCTAACATTGAGCCAGGGCAGTTAAAGTGCTCTCAAAATGGATTATTTCTGCAGTGTGTTTGGACCTAAGATTCTATGATCATACTTAATTGGGTTGTCAGTTGATTTTCATTGTTTATTGAGACCTAGAATCCAGATCCCATAGAACAGTATAACCACTGCCCTAAACTAGCCTATTTAATCTGTTGTTAACTATCTTCTAGTTAACTTGTCTTCTTGGCCCATCAGATAACACAAGCTATAAGCTCTGCAGTGGTTACTACCTAGTGGGGTGGTTACCCCACATTATTTATTTATCTAATATTTATTTCAAGCATTTATATCCAACCTTTTAGTCCCAGAACAAATTATCTGATATGGGATGAGGGCTCCTGTTCTCAAGATGATAGTGTACATTACATGACAAAGGGAAAAATGAATGGGTAGGGAATGAGAGGGAAGATAACCCCAAATGTACAGCAGGCATCCCTCTGTTTTTCTTCCACTCTCCTGTATGCTATCAGGTTGGCAGCTGATGGAATTTGGGACTGTTTCCCATAGATGTAATTGTGGAGGTAAGTAATACTTTGGTCACATGGTTCTGTGGTATTGCAGTGATAAAACAGGATAATCATGGATTGAGAGGCTACAGAGGATCGCTTCCATTGCTATTTCATGTTCATCTTTTTAACTTATTCCATTTCAGGAGCTGCTTTCAAGTGGAAGCAGGAGGGTTAGGACCATGCCTCCTTCCAAAGATGTTGTGAAAATTGCAGTCCAAATGATGGGAGCAATCCCTCAACTCATAGAACTCAATCAGGTAAGTGCATGCCACCCTTATCCTGTGGCTGGGGCTGGGAAAATTTTATCAGCTTAACTCTTACTTTAAGTATACTTTGCATAAGAGATCTTTTAACACCTTTGAGACTAATTGAGGGAATGAAATTTGTATTGTAAGTTTTTATAGACTGGGTATACTTCATCAAACCTAGTTTACAAAAACCTATGCTATAAGTTTCTTTCAGATAGTCTCAAAGGTGCTAAAAGATCCCCTTGCACACTGAAACAGACTAACATGGCTGTGTTTTTGTATACACTGCAAAGTAAGACTCCTCCTGCTCAACTCTTCTGGTGATTCATTTATTTGGGGTGGAACCAGTTGGCTTTGCTCACTAGTGCGCACAGGTTTGGTTTTCCACTCATTGCTGAAGTATCTACTTATTGTTTGCTTTTAATTGCAGGCCAAACCATTGTCTGCGGTTGTGAAAGAGGTTTGCGATGCGTGAGTAACTGTTTCTTTTCTCTGACATCTTCAAGCTCAGAAAATAACTTTCCAGACAGAAAGTAATGTTTACTGAAATCTACCATAGTTGTCCACACTGAAGTTTTACTTTAGACTAGATGGGTGCTTAATGTCTTAAGCTCTGTTGTAATATTTCTAGGGCTGTATGTATACATGCACCTGAATTCTGTGTAAATACTCCTGTTGGTTTTTTAAGTGTTATTTGCACAGAACTATGCTTCTTAAACTGCTAAATATAGAATTTATATTTTACTTTTAAATAAGTAAGTTTCATGCTGTCATTGCTTACATGCATTTGTGAGGATATTCTTGGAAATGTTCAAATCCATATTAGCCTTGAATTTGAAATACAATAGTTTCAACTTGCTGCCAGAACTTCAGTAAGATACCAATGATACCAGCATGACTTCTCATGGGCAAGTCTTTCACAACTCAGGTGCAGTTACAGAGAAATCCCTGCACCTGAGTTCTGTTGCGTGTTCTACCAGCTTGAATTGTGAGGTTGGTAAGTGCATGAGCCAGGGCTTTCTCTGTAACTGCACCTGAGTTGTGGAAGACCTGCCCAAGAGAAGTCATGCTGGTATCATTCTTACTGAAGTTTTGGCAGTGGGTTGAAACTATTGTATTGTCAGGGATGTGGTTTGTAACATTGGTTTTATTCTGTTTCTAATGAATGTTGTGTTTCTCATCTGTTTTTATATTGTAATACTCTTGTAAATTGTTTTGGATGTGTTGTGGATAAAAATAATTTATAAATATGTGTAAATATATGTGCATGTGTCTGTGTCCAGCATTTCTATGAGGCCAACCACAAAAGGGCACAAAAATAGTTACAAAATTTCATACAATCATCATGATCTGTAGTGCTCCTCAAACAAGACAGTTTAATAAAGCGAGGTGTGGGCATGAGAGAAAAACCTAACTTGTTTTTCAGTAACATGAAGAAGTGCAGTGAGGCTTACTCCTTGGTTAGTGTGTTAGTCTTAATGGAGCAAAATATGAAAAATTGCACCGTTGCTTTTCATGTACATAATTCCTTCCCATTACATGTAAGAGTTTCTTTGCCCACCTTTCCAGTGGGATGGAAATATATTCTTAGCATATTACCATGTTGCCTGGGGAGCTCCAGGTTTGTTGTCTTTTCCTGATCTTTATCTCATAGAACTCTGTGATTGATCTATTAATATAGGTGGAACCTGAATAATTCAGAGCGTTATGCTCTTCAATATGTGGACGGTCAGCAAGCATACATCACAGAATCGGTGAGTGTGCATGGTATCTTGTTGGGTCCAGTCTTATACATAACCATTGACTTTGTCCCTGTAGACAAGTGTGGACTAGCAGAGGAGAAATTAATGTGCTGTCCATCCTCCATGGCCAGCATAAAATCCAAGTTGACTGCTACAGGAAGGAAACAACATCCAACTCTCCATTCCTTCTCTGTCACTCACCAGTAGGGTAATATAGTTTACAGTGGGACCTTGGTATCAGCTGGGATTTGGTTCCAGGATCCCTTGTGGATACCAAAACCCATGGATGCTCAAGTTCCATTATATACAATGGTGTAGTAAAATGGTGTCCCTTATGTAATAATGGCAAAATCAAGGTTTTTTGGGGGATTTTTTTTTGTTTGAATTATTTTCAAGCCATGCATGATGGAATCTGTGGATGTAGAATCTGTGGATATGGAGGGCTTACTTTATTTGCAAGATAGTTTGCTTTCTAATTTATTAGTTATATTTATATCCCACCTTTCTTCTAGTGAATGTAAGGTGATGTATATTGCTGTTCTTCTCAGTTATCCTCACAACAAAGTTATGAGGTGGATTAGGCTGAGAAAGAGTGACAGGACCAGGTTCATTCAGTGTGTTTTATGATTCACTGGGGACTAGAACCTGGATCTACCAAATCCAACATTGTATCTACTATACCACAATGGCTCTTTGCACACTATGTCAGATGCAGTTTTAATGGTCCTGTTATTTTCATGTCTGTCTTCTCTAGAATCGTGGAGAA